GGTCACCCCACCTGCAGACACTTCCACCCAGGTGGCCTTGTGCTCGTGGGCAGGTAAGACCGGATGCCCCTCCCGGTTAGCGCCTCTTACCCCCAGTTGGCAAGGTTGGTTGAGAAGGAAACGTCCCTCCCTGATACCGGGATGGAGAGAGGGAGGGAGAGAGGGAAGAAGGGGGGAGGCTCTCAGTACAAACACTCGACAAGGTTGGTGAATAAACAGGTCCTCAGTAACACGGAGGGAGAGTGTTGCAAGATGATGAAGAAGTAATGGTGGTGGTAGATGGTGATTATGGAGGGTGGTGATTGTGGTAGATGGTGATTATGCTTGGTGGTGATTGTGGTGGTGGTAGTGGTGATTGTGGTGGTAGTGGTGATTATGGTAGGTGGTGGGTGGTAGATAGGGATTATGGTTGGTGGTGATTGTGGTGGTGATGGTGGTGGTAGTAGTGATAGGTGCATGGTGATTGTGGTAGTGGTAGGTGGTGATTGTGGTAATGATAGTAGTGGTAGGTGATGATTGTGGTAGCGGTGGTAGGTGATGGTAGATGATAGTAGGTTTTGGTTGTTGTGGTAGGTGATGATTGTGGTAGCGGTGGTAGGTGATGGTAGTTGATAGTAGGTTTTGGTTGTTGTGGTAGGTGATGATTGTGGTAGCGGTGGTAGGTGATGGTAGATGATAGTAGGTTTTGGTTGTTGTGGTTATGCCTGGTGATTGTGGTAGTGGTGGTGGGTGTCCGTCCGTTCCTGACACCCGACCTCAAGGTTGTTCCTCCGCCTCCTGCTGGTGCTCTTGTTGTCTCTGGTCACCTGCTCCTTATGGTCCTGCTCCTACCCCTGCTGATTCACCCACTGCTGCTTTTATCACCAGAGGTCATCCTGCTGCTGTTACTGCTATATCGGTCAGTCCTTCTGCTGTTGTGTCTACGTCTTCTGCAGCAGCCAATATGTCACGTCTTCCTCTGTACTCACCCCCCGCTACTGCCCTCCTTCACCACACACACACTCCTTGAAACGTCACCTTCTAAAATGCCAATAGTCCTCTTACTGTCGGATTTATAACAGGAAAACGCTTAAATCCGCATTCTTGCCCGACTTACTTACTGCTGCGTACTTCTTCAGCGGATTCCTGAAGATGCAGACTAAAGGTTCACGTGTCAGGCGTTAACAAGGTGAGAAGTGTGCTTAACAACACGCCAGGTGAGATAATGACGATGACTCAATAGGTGACAAATATCAGGGTTTGTTTACTTTCTGTGAGTTTAAATGGCAACTTGATCAGGTCTTGGTGGGTGGTGGTGGGTGGTGGATGGTGGTGGGTGGTGGTAGGTTAAGTTAGGTTAGGTTAGGTTAAGTGGGTGTTAATTCTCAGTGTTCATTATAGTCCAGTATCTCTCTCTCTCTCACTCTCATACAATGTTTCTCCTTCACATTCCCTCTCTTTATCTCACTCTCCCTCACTCATCACCTTAACGTGTGTGTCGGCCACTACCAGCCCTTCCCCCTTCCTGTTTCTTATGAGGCCTCGACGTAATAACTGTGTTAGTAACAAACATTATATCTTTAACCTTGACACACACACAATCTATGGTAGTGACGTGTGTGTGTGTGTCAAGGTGTTCGGTTACGGTCTGATAAGGATGCCGTGTGTCAGGTAAATTATTGCAAATTCTCTTTTTGCGTCCTTTTGTGTGACGTGTTTGACTTTTGCGTTCATGTGTGTCTTGCGTTTGTGTGTGCGTGACAGGCATGTGTATAACGCTTGTGGACGTAATGTTTATGTGTTCATTATTCATGTTCACATGTTGACATTTACTTACACCAACAGAAGGCCTCCAACACCGACACAGTTATAAACAGACACCTTATTGTGTTTGTCGAAAATTACTTCCATATAATTACTCTTGTTAATTGTAAAACGTACTATTGAACAGTGATTAATCAGGATTTAATGACATAACAAACTACATGAGTAATTAATACATAAAGTTATATATGAAGAAAGAAAGAAATCGTAGAGGCTTCTGTTTCGGAGCTTCGAGGGCGAGGGGACCAACACTGGGTCGAGGGATCAGTCTCGTTCATCGCCCGAGGCTTCACTTTCACTGTCCGCTCTCTTCTAATAGCGTCACCACCGCTCCCTGCAGCTACATGTGGTGCTGCCTAAGCCTACGCCACTGTTTCGATGTAACAATGAAACATCCAAGTTTATCCAGGGAATTTGTGAAATATCCAAGACACACTACACTAGCTTTACCTTTTATTATTTAAGATTAGTGGAGTTGTAATGAACCAAAGAAGCAGTGAACCCTAAACACCCCCCCCCCACATCCTTACACCCCCTTACCCCCCTACACCACCACCCCCCCTACACCACCACCCCCCTACACCACCAGCGGCCGTACCTAGTGTAGCCAGAAAAATCACTGTCACGTTCCGGGTCACCAATAAAACAGTGAAGCAACGTTTCCCTCGTTCTTCTCCTTGAGGTCTAAGATACTACACTAAGTTTCGAAGCACCGGTGAAGCAACGAAGCTACTTTACATGGGTCAAATTACCTATAGACACACAACTTTAAGATATAGTCAACCAGTAAAATAACGAAACTGCTTCATGAAACAATAAACGAAACTGATTCACAAAACAGCATCGAAGCATCACTCTATGTCCACATTAAGCTGAGTTTCTCCTGGGTGACGGCAGGTTTGAGGTTCCCCATCCAACACTCTCCCAGAACGACTTTCTCTCCCCGACCACATGACCATCACACACACACCAGATCATGAATCCTCGAAATTTCATACATTTCCCACCTCTCCTTGAAAGTGTAAAAGAATGGATTGAAGTGGTTCTCGTAAGCTACGACACCAAGACAGCTGTGAAAATAGTGTCAGTGTTGAACTATTTAGTTTTTTTACGTATCAAGATGTATTCTCTTATTCACATGTACGGGGGAACTACCTTCTTCTTCTTCTGCTTCTTCTTCTTCTTCTTTTTCTTCTTCTTCTTTTTCTTTTTCTTTTTCTTTTTCTTTTTCTTCTTCTTCTTCTTCTTCTTCTTCTTCTTCTTCTTCTTCTTCTTCTTCTTCTTCTTCTTCTTCTTCTTCTTCTTCTTTTCTTCTTCTTCTTCTTTTCTTCTTCTTCTTCTTCTTCTTCTTCTTCTTTTTCTTTTTTCTTCTTTTTTCTTCTTCTTCTTCTTCTTCTTCTTCTTCTTCTTCTTTTTCTTCTTCTTCTTCTTCTTCTTCTTCTTCTTCTTCTTCTTCTTTCTTCTTTTCTTCTTCTTCTTCTTCTTCTTCTTCTTCTTCTTCTTCTTCTTCTTCTTCTTCTTCTCAGGTGTGGTCCTGTATACATAAAGCTACACAGATGCCGTCGTCAACACTTTCTCTCATCTCTCCCTCATCTTCCGTCATAGCAGCGGTCCAGCCACCTCTCTCTCTCTCTCTCTCTCTCTCTCTCTCTCTCTCCTGTTTTGTCATGGGCTGCGTTACCAGTGGCAAATAGGGCAGCAATGGCTCCTCCTCCATTTTATGCTTCCTTCATTTCCTTACTCCCTCCTGCTCTTCCTCATCCTCCCTCTTTTCCTCCTTCCTCACCATTACTGTTTCCTTCTCTTCCTTACCCCTTCTTCCTCCTCCACCTCTTATTTTCTTCCTCTTCCTCCAATAGCTTGTATGTATACCTCTTCGTGGAGGCTAAGTGTCATGGTTTCATTCAATAATTTTAGGATTTTTCTGGCTTTTCGTTTCTGTTTGTTTTCGTGGTTCAGGCGTAATGTTTTCGTGGTTCAGTCGTAATGTTTTCGCTGGTCCACTGTGTTGGGCCCATGGAATGGTCCACAGGGTATAAATGTATAAATGGACCAGTGGGTTGGCTTACAAATCTTGACTAATCCAGTAATTTGGTCCACTAGATTGGTCCTCTGGTTTGGTCCACAACTAAATGGTCCACTAGGTTAGTCCAGAGTGGCTCAGGGGTCAGACTACCCACACTAACACACACTCACTCACTTTCACTCTCAACCTGCCTCATCCTGGACCACTCACCCCCTCCTCCCTCCCTCACCCTCTCCCCCCCCCCCCTGACATCATCTGTACTAGGAGGTAAATACTACGTGATATACTAGGTCTCTCTCTCTCTCTCTCTCTCTCTCTCTTTAGCCGTCTGGACGGTACCTGACAGTAACTCGGTAAAAACTGGTACTATTTGATGGTACGACAGATGGTACTGAAAGAGTCGTTCCTTTCTCAAAATCACCAATCGGACAAAAGCACCAGCCGGACAAAATCACCAGTCGGACAAAATCACCAGTCGGACAAAATCACCAGTCGGACAAAATCACCAGTCGGACAAAATCACCAGTCGGATAAAATCACCAGTCGGACAAAATCACCAGTCGGATAAAATTACTAATCAGATAAATTTACTTCGGACAAAATTTACTTACTTCGCCTGAATGAGTAAATTCCCGATGGTCAAAATCCCTTTTGGACAGATTATAGGCTGGACAAAAAATCCCATCTTATAACTTCCTCCCCCCTTTCTTGGACAAAATCTTATCACAACCTCACTGGACAAAACATTCCATTATATAATACCTCTTACCCCCCTCCCTCAGGACAAAAAAACAACATTACACACTCCACCACTGGACAAAACTCCAATAAGGATGACATTTCCTTGAACAAATTCCCGTCGCCAACTAGAACAGTGAGAGACGGGAAAAAAAAGAAGGAAAATGTGAACATAACTTGACATTTAGAGCAGGTAGCCCTTGAGAGGCGCCACCCCCGTTTTCTTTGAGACCAAGTGACCAACCCGATTAGTTAAAGAGCCAGAAGGTGTTTACTAGTTTCTCTTGTGTGTGTGTGTGTGTGTGTATGTGTTGTGTATGTTTGTCTGTGTGTGTGTGTGTGTGTGTGTGTGTGTGTGTAACATTATGAATATCCATGAATAATAACAGTGTCACTCAAGCACCAGCCTAACGCGTCCCTCCTCTCCCACCAGGAACTCAGGGAAGCGTTTAACGACGAAGGCAGCAAGGTGAAACAGCGACGACTACTGCTGACTATGGCTGTACCTGCTGGCAAGGTCTACATAGATAAGGGCTACGATGTTCCCTCCCTTACCAGGTACTGTTCCCTCCCTCTATGTTTCCTCCCTCACTAGGTATTGTTCCCTCCCTGTATGTTCCCTCCCTCACCAGGTCCTGTTCTCCCTCTGTGTTCCCTCACCAGGTACTGTTCCCTCCCTCTGTGTTTCCTCCCTCACTAGGTATTGTTCCCTCCCTATGTGTTCCCTCCCTCACCAGGTCCTGTTCCCTCCCTCACCAAATACTGTTCCCTTCCTCTGTGTTCCTTCCCTACTATTGACCTAAATCTCACTCACTTTAATCCAATTCCACGTGTTTTTTGTGAGGTGATAACACGGCAGTAGTTCCCAGGGGCGCCTAGTGTACTGCAGGAGAGAGCCGTGTGAGGGGTCCGTCCGTCCGTGTAGGAGAAAGCTATGAAACTTTTCTCACCTAGATTTCTATGTCGTTACTTTTTTCCTTCAGCAGTGCGAGTAGAGTTCATTGTTTTTATTCTGGTGATGTTTACGACTTCTGTTCAGTTGGTCTCAAGTCTTAGTAATTCTATATAATATTCATCTTTTTTATTATACATCAATTATAGATTACAATAGTGATAAATAATTACTAAAGTCCAATTATACTAGAATGTCACAGCCTTAAAGGTAAACCAAAAGAAATTATCACTTGTTTTTGTGAGAGAAAGTTGTCAACAGGTGGAATCATTTAGCTGTGAATGTTGGGGCGACGGGACCAAGAGAATGTGAGGGTCTGTTACACTCATGAACCCAAGTATGTCCAGCAACTTGTAACTGTGGGGGGAAGGAGAGGACTGAGAGTGACTGTCTAATGAACTGTTGGAGGAGGACTGATGTAAATACTTGTTACACGGTTTAAAGGTCTCATAGTTGTTGAGGCGCAGTAACTTTATAACATCAATTATTAGTAACATTTTCTGTATGGCGTAACAATACTCACGATTTCTTATAAAAAAAAGATCCCTCTTTCATTCCTTTCTTCCTTCCTTCCTCTCTCCCTCCCACCTTGTGTTCCCCCCTTCCTTACTTCCTTTATTCCTTCCTTCCTTCCTTCCTTCATTCCTTCCTTCCTTCCTTCCTTCTTCCTTCCCTCCCTCCCTCCCTCCCTCCCTCCCTCACGCCTTCCTTCTTTCCCTCCCACCTCTCTGAAGAAACTACTACAACCTGACGTCACAAGGTAGCGTCTCTCTCTCTCCTCGTTCCGTCTTGCACTGATAATGAGAACCTGGTGTTGTCACTCTCTCCTCCTCCTTTTATTCCTCCTTGTTCTTTCTCCTCCTCTTCCACTTCCTCCTCTTCCACCACCTCCTCCTCCTCTTCCACCACCTCCTCCTCCTCCTCCTCCTCCTCTTTCTCATCCACTTCCCCTTCCTCCTCCTATTCCCACCTACTCCCCCTCCGCCTTATATAGAACGTGTTGTCACCGCCACTACGTCACACCCCCACCTTGTGACATCACCTCTTGTTACCTTGGTGGGGGGTTAATGCCACTCAGTCACGCGTTACGTATTGGCACATGTGGTGATGACGTCTTAACCCCCTTTTCCGCTATATTGTGACCTCTTTCCGCTATATTGTGACCTCTTTCCGCTATATTGTGACCTCTTTCCGCTATATTGTGACCTCTTTCCGCTATATTATGACCTCCAGTTCGACCTCTCCATAACCTTCAGAGCCTCGTTATAAATGCTATGTCTTGACCTCATCTCATTCCTCCCTCTCCCCTCCCTCCCTCCCCTCCAACACAGTAACACTCCCCCCTCCCTCCAACTCCTCCTGATAACGTCTTTCAACACCTCCTCTCCACCACTCGCTCCAACACACCCTCCCCCCCCCATCCCTCCACCAGCACTTACTAACCTGGCGTGCCTTTCCTCCCCAACAGAGATCTGGATTTCTTTAACATCCTCAACTATGACTACCACAGCGCATACGAACCCACCGTCAACCACCACGCCTCCCTCATGCCGGCCCCTGGCACCTCTGAGTACGCCTGGAACGCCGAACTCAATGTGGTGAGTACAGAGACCCGTGAGTACTTGATTATTATGGTGGAGTAAATAGATCGTTCTAATAAATATAAATGAAGTAAATAGCTCTTTCTAGTAACTGTATGTGGAGTAAATAGCTCTTTTAGTAGATATGTGGAGTAAATAGTTCGTTGTAGTAGATATATGGAGGAAATAGCTCGTTCTAGTAGATACTTGGAGTAAATAGCTCGTTCTAGTAGATATAGGGAGTAAATAGCTCGTTCTAGTAGATATAGGGAGTAAATAGCTCGTTCTAGTAGATATAGGGAGTAAATAGCTCGTTCTAGTAGATATATGGAGTAAATAGCTCGTTCTAGTGAGTGATTGGAACAGTCTGAGCCAACCAGCGTATGGGTCGATGGTATTACTAAGCGCTGTGTTCATAAGAGTACTACTGTATATTCAGCTTGCCCAGTAGGTTAAACGCTCCACTGAGTACCATGAATATGTTATTGTTCCGTTGAGTACAGATGTCCAGTGAGTCAGCAGTCTGTTCCGTTGAGTACACTGAAGAATGCTTGATGAAATTATGTTGAGTTTCTTATGTGTGACGGAGAGTGAGTTCATGTTTTCTCTGTTCTGAGTTTTGAAACATTTGTCTGTATAAAAATTGTCTGTATGTTTGTAATTTTAGATGGAGAGACGGAAAGAAATTATTATTATTATTATTATTATTATTATTATTATTATTATTATTATTATTATTACAGTAAACATAACACCTAAAAAATAATCCCAATAAATATATTAATATCTTCCTCTAAATAACAAACGCCAGTATCACTTCCTACTGTAAATGTCATAGACTGGAGCCAAGTAGTCAAACAGGTTCTATGCATGTTACGAGGACTCTGGGAGAAAGGATGGTGCCGTCAAATACCAAAACAATCGGTAAAAACAGTCCCCTTGTCTCTTTAGGTCACATTTGTATTATTCTGATTTTTTTAGTTTACCCTAAAGAGTTGAAGAAGGAAAATGGGAATCTGTGTATTTTTTTAAGGTTTAGTTTTTTTTATTAGTTGTGAAATAATCAGAGAGAAAGTTTGTTATCTTTCTCTCTCTTGTACTGTCTAGTTCACTCTGTTTTCATAATTTTCTTGGTAATAATAATAATAATTCATCATACAAGTGTGGAATTGATTTGACATGTATGTAGACAATGCAGGTATACTGTGTACTGTATACATAGATGGCAGAGTCAGTTATATATCACATCCTGTTCCTGTCTCTCATCTCTCTTCTCTTCGTCAGGACTGGACGGTGAAGTACTATATCGAGCTGGGCGCCGAACCGCACAAGTTGGTCATCGGCATCCCCACCTACGGCCGCTCCTACACCTTGATTGACGGGAATTTCACCAATTTTGGAGCCTCAGCTGACGGGCCGGGCGAGCAGGGAAAATACACCAAAGAAAACGGTTTTATGGCTTTCTATGAGGTAAATAGAGGGTGACTATAGTATATTATGGGCCAGCCTCTTCCTCCTCTCTTCCCTCCCCGACCCGTGATATGATCTGTTTTGATTTGAATTTATTACGTAAAAATTCACGCAGTATAAAAAGTAAATAATTTGTAATACTGTATATTTCACTGTTGAATAGTTAAGTGAATGTAAAGACTCAGTGTAATATTTCATGACATTTTTAGACTTAATTTCTCTGGTTCCTTAAATAATAGACATACATTTATAGCCCAACCGTGGATGTAAGCGAATAGGTGAAATTAACTCAGCTCTGTATTTCAGGTTTGTGAGAATATCGCCTCTCATGGCTGGGGTGTACGCAAGCCTTACCCGCGACGCATCGGCCCTTACGCCTTCTCTGGTAACCAGTGGGTCGGTTATGATGACGAGAAGATTGTGGCGAAGAAGGTGAGGCACACACACACACACACACACACACACACACACACACTTCTGTTTGTCTTGGGATGTTTATGTGTTTATCATGAGCGTTCTTTACTTCCCTCTTCCTTATTTTTTTATTCTCTTCTCTCTTTCTTTCCTTCCCTTTTCTTCTCCCCTTCCATCTTTTTGCTCCTTTCCTCTTTCCCTCTATCCTTCCTTCTTTTTCTCTCCCTCCCTATCCTTCCATATTTTTTACATTCCCCTCTTCTTTCTTTCTCTTTTTCCCTGTTCCTTTCTCCTTCCCTCTTCTCCTCCTCTTCCCTCTCCTTCTCTCATTCCCTCTTTCCCTCTCTACCCTCTCCTCTCTCTCCCTTCCTCCTACTCACCCCTCTCTCCCTCCCACAGGCTGAGTACGTACGGGAACACAGCCTCGGAGGCATTATGTACTGGTCTCTAGACAACGATGACTTCCGAGGAATCTGTAACGGCGAGCAGTACCCCCTGGTGGAGGCTGGCAAAAAGGCCCTGTTCACTGATGCTGAACTGGACGATTCTGTCAACGAAGCCAGAAACCTCCAGAGGGCCACCTCAGGGTAAGTACAGGTACCAGGTGAAGAGATATAGGTGAATGGGGGACTTAGAAGAGGAGGAGGAATGATTATGGAGTGTAAAAAGGGTGATGATAACTTGTTGGAAAGAAGAAAAGTTTGTGTGGTGAGGATTGGGGGGGTGGTGAGGGAGATATGTGTGTGTGTGTGTGTGTGTGTGTGTGTGTGTGTGTGTGTGTGTGTGTGTGTGTGTGTGTGTGTGTGTGTGTGTGTCATAGTTGAAGGTTTTGTCGAGGTGTTCTTGGGTTGTTTTGGTGAAGTAAGAAGCGATCTGTCTGTAAATAATTATTATCAGGATGGCTGTGAGCTCTGTAGTGATTGTGTTTTCTTTTTGGTGTTGCAGTTTTATCATGATTTATATGTGTTTTTTTCAGGTATCAGTTAAAGGTTTATATCAGTTTCATGAGGTTTGGCGGAGTCTTGATGGAAGAATATTTCTCTTTGATGTGATGTGCAGCCACTGTTACGTGCTGTTCTTCGGCTCTTACCAACAGGGAGAAAGGCAACTTTTTTTCTTTTTTTTTTGCAATTTCCAGAGACATAATTTTTTTTTCTCGTCTAAATGGTTGGTTTTAGTAAACTCATTGTGCTTCAGCAGTTTTATTTCACGTCTTCTTAATTAACCGACGAAGTAAGTACTCCTGGATGGTGTTAATACTACCTGTGTTGTCTTTGTGTTTTAATGCATAATAATTAATTAAGGCTTTACACTTCTAATAGGTGACTTGTACTTAACACTTCTGGTACTTAGTGTTTAATCTCTAGTTATTTACATCACAACTCATAGATTTATTTGTTATGGTGATTTTAGTTGTATAAGTTGTACTAGAAGAGCTTTTTACTAGATATATAGCCGCAGTGTAACCATAGAGCCCTGGATACCCGTAGATTTGTGTGTGTTATTGTTGGCATCACTAGTAAGTTGTTTCTGTTATGTACTGTGTTGAGTAGCTGAGTCAAACACCATAACCTAATCATATACCTTTAACTTCTCTAGTCTTAGTGGCTTTAACTTGTAGATAATAGCCAATAGAAAGTTTGCACAATATCTTAGTCAGAATTCTGAAAAAGCGACCATTGGAAAGATGTACGTCTTGTCAGTGTGTTTGTTATGTCGAGTAGATAAAAATTATCAGTTTGGAAGACTTTAGTCTCGAGTGATGGAGCTTTTTCAGAATTCATGTTGTGTTTGTTAATAGTTGTGACACTTGAGGTGGCTTCCAACACCATACTCTTCGACCTGACACACAAATATAACGCGAGAAATTACAGAAGGGACACGACGGCCTCAGTGTCTGTCCAAGCCACTGACGACACCAGGCGTGGCTCACAACAGACCAGGTTCAAGACCCAAGACACTTCCCGCACGAGAGAACAAGACACTTTCCGTACACGACCACAGCAGCCTGAAGCCCCTGTACGAACCCTCTCGCAATCAGTGCAAACCCGTACCCGAGGAGGATCCAGGTTTGGCGGTGGGTCACAGGTGCGCCGCAGAAGACCAGACCGCATTCAAGACAGGTACCCTCTGTCGCCCCGTCCCGCCCCGCCAGGCTTACCGGCACTCTAACAGCACCCAATACGCGCCCCCGCGAACAGTGGCTTTTGCAGCTTTGTATAAACAACGCAATGGCTTTGTTTACATGCTTAACTTGCTTCTACTAAAACTGACTTACGATTCCCAGGAGAAACAGCGACACCAGATGGACCAGTTGGCGTTGTGTGTGTGTCTCTCTCTCATCTCCCCATCGCCCTTCTTTCCTCTTTTTCTCTACTACCTCCCCTCCTCCATTGTCCCTACTCCTCTCCACCTTCCCTTTCCCTCCCCTACCCACGTCATCCCCTCCACATTCCCCTTCCCTCCTTCACCCACCATCCCTCACCCACCATCCCTCACCCACGATCCCTCACCCACCATCCCTCACCCACCTACCCTCACCCACCATCCCTCACCCACCCACCCTCACCATCCCTCACCCACCACCCCTCCCCACCCCTACCTCACCCACCTACCCTCACCCCACCCTCACCCACCTCCACCCACCTACCATCACCAACCATCCTCACCCACCACACCACCCCCCATCATCCACTTATATTTCTCCTCATATCACCGACGGATCTTGATAGTGGCGGTGCTGTGTGTTTGGTGTGTGTGTGTGTGTGTGTGTGTGTGTGTCTGTGTGTGTGTGTGTGTGTGTGTGTGTGTGTGTGCGTGTGTGTGTGTGTGTGCGTGTGTGTGTGTGTGTGTGTGTGTGTGCGTGTGTGTGTGTGTGTGTGTGTGTGTGTGTGCGTGTGCGTGTGTCCGTGCATTTGTTTATTTGTCTGTCTGTGTACGTTGTATATGTCCTGTGGATCTGTTATGCTGTCGCTTCAAACTCCGGATTCATTGAAATTTGGTAAATATTGGTGTTGGAGTTTGTGCCTGAGGAATGAGCTGTCGTCTTGAACTGTTCCTCTGTCAAGAAGGCTCCCGTTCACTTGGCCCACGGACATTTGGCCGAACGGACATTTAGCCGAATGGACAAATGGCCGAACCTGACCTAACCTGACTTAACCTAACCTAAGCTAACCTAACCTAACCTAACCTAGCCTATACAAATGTGCAAAAAAGATTTTTCTATCATACAAATGTATCACATTGTAATTATGTTATCTTTTTATCCTGTGTCCGTCGATGAAAAGTCCGGCCACGGTCAAGAAGTTGTCAGTATTGTTGTCTTCAGTTGACAACGTAAATAACACCATTTAAAACTGCAACTCGTGTTATGGTTCACAAATAATAATGATAAGCTTCACTTGATATGTTTATTCCTCAATGGGATAAAAATACTCTAATTATTCACAAGGTAAGTATGCATGAAGACTGCCTTAACATTATACACTGAACAATTGCAATCAATCATTCATTTCATTTCAGTGCACGAATACAGTACCCAGATGCATGGATTACATCACAGCATGAATTAACATACATACACAGGTGTACACTTGGTTAATGAGTGAGTGGTGGTTTACCTGGATGTTTACCTCTCTCTCTCTCTCTCTCTCTCTCTCTCTCTCTCTCTAACTCATTACATACCTTTATTTACCTAATAATTAAGACAGGATTCACATGTTGTTTATATTTACTCTTTTGTTATGAGTCTTCTTCAATCTATCTCAATTTGGTTTGTTATTTGTTTATTATTTTTAGTAATTCATGTCTGTGTTGTTGCTTCAGATTATCATTTGTGTTTGTATTTTCTTATTTTCTTGTTTTCACTTCTTTGTTTAATTTTGTTCTTTCTTCTTCTTCTTCTTCTTCTTCTTCTTCTTTATTTTATTATCATTATTATTATCATTGTTCTTTTCTTCTTCCCATTTTCATCATAAGTAGAATCAATCACCAATCCCTCTTCCTTTATTGGTGGAAAAGACACATATGCCCTTATTCTGTATACAAGATGGAACACCATTCTATCCCATTGCCTCTAAAAGATGGCGGGAATTTTGTACCCTATTTTCTTCGTAATGAGATCTGCACACCCAATTTTCTTTACAGTGACACCTATGCACCCCATTTTCTTTTAGGGGGTACTGTTGGTTTACTCTCTGTACCTGTATTAACTAATCTCTCTTGTCTACAGCACACGAGCTCCTACAAGCCTCTCCACACGCCTCCAGAACCGCCGACGGCCCAAAATTACCACGCCCGCGCCCACCACCACGCCCAGGTGAGACAACACGCCATGTCTATCCGTACTTACACACGTTCATACCCATGTACACCTACAATATATATATGTATGTACACACACACTTATGTACGAACACTGTTTAAGTAATGTACATACAAGTAAGTTATAGTGATTATGTTTTAGTTGGGATTTATATTTTCATGACTATGTAACCCACCATGACCCACTATTAATTTCTGTAACCCACCACATACAGTCCACCACACACAGTCTACCACACACACACACCACCACCATAGCCCACCACACAGTCTACCACACACACACACCACCACCATAGCCCACCACACACACAATTTACTATCACATTTCACCCCCAAAACCACTAACAAAACCCACCACCAAAACCCACCGCACACAACCCACCACCACCACAATCCCCTCCACCAACACAACCCACCACCACACACACAACCCCTCCACTACCACACACAACCCCTCCACTACCACACACAACCCCTCCACTACCACACACACACACACACAACCCACCACCACAACCCACCAAAGCCATCCGATGAACTGATCTAGCCCACCGTAATCTTCTTGTACGCCCTCTGCAGTCCCACGAGGCCGCCCACCACCCGCCCACCACCCTCCCGTCGTCCAGCAGGTGTAAAAAGACAACCTGGTACCCGCAGACGGGGCCATCGAAGAACGACAACCACCATCAACCCACTGAACACTCCGCCACCACCCACCACACCCAGCCCTGTCTCCAGTACGTAAACTGGATAGATAGCTAGATAGATAGATAGATAGATAGATAGATAGTGGTTATTTTTTTATTATTTTCCTGCTTTATCTTAATGTTTTATTGTTATTTTCCTTTGTTATCTTAATTTTTATTTTTATTTCTTTGTTACACTGATGTTTGTTTTTATTTTCAATTGGTATCTTGTTATTTTCTTTGTTATCTTAATGTTTATTGTTATTTTCCTTTGTTATCTTGATGTTTATTGCCATTTTTTGTTATCTTGTTATTTTCTTTGTATCTTAAGTGTTGTTGTTATTTTCCTCTGGCAGGTTTTGCGTGTAAGCGAGTCGGCTTCTTTCCCAACCCCGACAACTGCCACAAGTACTATTGGTGCCTTGACTCCGGTGCATCTGGCCTTGGCACTGTCGCTCACGCCTTTACCTGCCCCTCAGGTAAGTGGTCCCTCTTCTCACCTGTTGCTAGTGTAAGTGATACAGCTGTGGAAATGTGTTCCTACACCCCTTGTGGTAACTTGTGTCCAAACGGCACCGTTGCAGCAGTAGTATCACTATTTATGAATGATTGGATATTGGTCGTGTAACGACGGACGTGATTGATGGATTAAGTTTGCTATAATAATAATGGCCGGCCTTCCTTGTGCGGCCCAAGGGACACCTAGGCGTGAATTTGTTCAAGGTGTAGAAGCTGTCGCCAACACAACAACCATACCCTACGTTAACGAGTTGCATGACCCAGTGTCAAGGAATAGTCCGAGAAGACCGGACAACTTGCCAACTGCACTGGCTAACCATCACCCAGGAACACGATCCGCAAATCGATTAACATCCAGGTCCCCAATTACTGCTGGGTTAGACAGAGGCAAATGGCGTAAAGAAACTTGCCCATAGTTTCTCCCTGCCTGGGGATCGAACCTGGGTCCGCTCGCTTGCGAGGCGAGCATGCTGACCATTACATTGCTATAGGTCATATGCAGTAGGTTGGCTGTTTGGAGACACAGGTTACCATGGGGCTGTAGGAACCATTCCCCAACTGTGCCTCCTTTCACCTGTTGCTAGTGTAAGTGGTACTTCCTGTCACCTATTCTTATTCAGATATCATGTTAACCCCCATCACCTAACCTAACCTAACCTAACCAGCTAACCCCCCTCACCTACCCCCGGAGTAACTTAATCTAAACTAATCTAACCTAGTCTAACCTAACCTAAAGTCACTTCCCTCCCCCTTCTCCTCCCCCACCCTATAACACACCTTCAATAGAATCCTTGATAACCTTAATGGATAGATCAACGTCGAGTACAGTGGAATTAAAAACCAAAATAACAACACCTCAGACCTCCTTCTCCACCACCACTCTACCACATTCTCCACCACCACCACCACCACTCCACTACGTCCATCAAATTCTCCACCAGTCCACTACCTTCTCCACCACCAGTCCACTATATCATCTTTCTCTCCACAGACTTGGTGTTCAGTAAATCAATCGATGGCTGTGATCACCCGACCCGTGCTAAATGTTCCACTGAGAAGAAAGGTCGTGGGGGTGCAGCAGCCACTACCCCTGGCCCCAGCACACCTATCCCCACCACTACCGAGATCCCTAACGACTATTCTTACTACGATGACTTATATTACTACGATGACCAGGACTACTACGTTGATGAGGTACCTGTTACCCAAGCACCCGAACCTGTAGAAGAGGTTCCCAACACCGTCAGTAGAAGGTGAGTGGTTAAGGATTTAGTAGTAGTAGATTGTGATAAGGGAAGGGGGATGACAGTATGTGGCAGTAGTTGTGGTATAGTAGTGGCAGTTGATGGTAAGTGACGAGAATAAACAGTAAATAAGAGACAGCTGTAGGTTTTGTGTCTCGGAAGCGGTGAACAACAAGTGATGGTAACAATAAACAGTAGAAACACGGTAAATAGACATCACTTGTGGGTTCTTGTGTGTGTGTGTGTGTAATAATAATAATAATAATAATAATAATAATAATAATAATAATAATAATAATAAACGGTTTATTAATAAAGTTGCAGCCGGTGGCTGAAAATATACAAATTTACATGTGATTTAGACATAATAATATGCGTTCAATATATTTACAGGGCTGTACAGTACATAAATCAGGAGCTGTTTATTATTTTAACAATAGCTGGGATGGTGCTATTCTTATATCTATCAGTTTATTGGGCTACTATGAGCTGAATTTTGTTGTAGTGGCGGACTGCGCGAGGTGGGCGGGGAACTGCAGGTGGCAGTAAGTGGCAATGACGGGGATGGTGCAGTAGTCCACTGCCAAACCCTGCTAGTGCGTGGTGGTGGAGGTCACTGAGGGATGGCATTTCCAGTGTGGAGAGAGCATTGTTGTAGCCGGAGTAGTCTGCGCCGAGCATGATTCTGCAGGCCCTCTTCTGTACCTTCTCCAGCTGACGTTGTTGGGTAGAGTTGAGAGAAGACGACCAGGCTGGTGACGCATACGTTAATTTTGGGAGTATAAATGCTTTGTAGATAGTCCTCAGCTCTGGCGTGGGTGCCCCAAGTGACCTGAGTCGTCGAAGCATGTAAAGTCGGTACGAGGCTGCCTTGATTGTGTTTTTACATGGGCCTTCCAGTCCAATTTGTGGTCTATAGTTACACCCAGGAGTTTGACAGACTGCACTAACTGGAGAGGATGGGCACCCACTGTAACTGCTGGAGCTTGCACTGGAGTGGTGGCGGTATTGATGTGCATGACTACGGTTTTGGTGTGGTTGATGGTGACCCTGTTCTCCGTAGTCCATGCCTGTAGCCTGTCCAGGGTGCCTTGTAGCGATGAGTAGTCCGGTGAGGTGTTGTCCACTGTAACCCCCACAGTGCAGTCATCCACGTACTTCCACCTGTGAGGAGTGTCCGATAGAGCGTCGTTGATCAGGATTAGGAAGCACAGTGGTCCCATCTTGGTCCCCTGGGGAACACCACAGGTGAGGTGTTGGAATGTGGAGACAGAACCCTGGTACCTCACTGCCTGCCGACGCTCACTCAGGAAATCAGTGAGCCATGAGACCAGGTTGGTGGGCAGCCCTTGTGCAATGGCCTTGTTGTAACAGTGCAGTGATCAACAAGGTCAAAAGCCTTCCTGAAGTCAACAAGGGCAACGGCCAGTGATGTCTTACGTTTTTCCAGGTTTTTGTGCATAAAGTGTGTGTGTGTGTGTGTGTGTGTGTAGGCCCTTCATTACAACCATCAGTAACTCTTTAAGTACCTGTAATAGCACACAAGACTTTTGCTTAAACTAAACACCCTTACCTCACCAGGCGTCAGAACTCTGGAGGCAGCCAGTTCTCGAGCAGCACCTCCGATTTTGCCAGGGACTCAACTTCTTCGTCGTCGTCCTCCTCCTCCTCCGGGTCTCTTGGCGGACGCTCCAGACCTCAGTACCAACCCATCGCCCGGGACAGGTATGTTGTCCTGTGTTCTTGGTCTTGTCTCTTAAACTCATTTTGTTTGTGTCACTCTGTCCGCCTTGGTTAGCACCTCCCATCATCTGTACTGAGGGTCACTGTGGCTCTTACACTTCACTACGTTTGAGGTTTTTATAAAAGCGATTGTTATCTTGGTACACATATTGTTTTGGTGTCTCACGCATAATGTGGAAACCTTGATACATGGCTTCATTGTAATTACTCAGCATATAAAGAGGTACTAAAAAACATATATAGCGTCTAATATTAGGACATATAGTTTGATCAATCGATTTATTCACCCCAGGAGTCCAGCCCCGGTGTCTGCTGCTGAGGAGGCCCAGGAGGCCGAGGTGGCCCAGGAGGCCCCCAGAAGACGTGATCCCGTCAGAGGTATAGGAGGTCGTCCACAATACTCCGCTATCGAGCGCCCACAATCCTCCGCTATCGAGCGCCCACAATCCTCCGCGATCGAGCGCCCACAATCCTCCGCTATCGAGCGCCCACAATCCTCCGCTATCGAGCGTCCAAAATACTCCACTATCGAGCGCAGGCGCCCCGCAGCCCAGCCTCAGCCCATTGAGGAGGAAGGTTTAGCCCGCGAGGCTGAGCCCACGACAGGTGGACGCCAATACGTCACCATCGACAGACGACGACGCCCCTCTGCCGCCTCCCCCACCAACGAGGGAGCTACTCCAGCTCTTGAGATAGAGTCCCCAACTGAACCAACTCTGCAGTACGTGACTATTTCCCGTGCTCGTGGTACTACAACACCCGCCACCCCAACCCCACCCTCTCCTCATAGCTCAGAGCCTTCCGTTAGTCCAGCACTTATAGTACCGACCGCACCCGTCACTCCAAGGTACCACTGCACACTGTTTTCTACTAGGGCTTCAACGCTTGGCAGCGGGCTACTGCTTGGGCATCGCTGTTGTTTGACTGATGGTGTAGGATGAATGGTACTTGTTGTTATTTCACCGCAGCTGCACCGAACACTTCTGCTTTTATGTTTGTTTTTTTAATCATGATGTTCATTTGTTCTTAAATATGATCTTCCTAATATGTGCATTTGTATTCCTTTGCAACACTAGAGTATCTTTATTTCTTGTTGCTAAATCTTGTTTTGCTCCTGTCACCAGCTTTATGCCGTACATGTCAGGGCTACCAGACCAGATACTTCACTCAAAGTTCCAAATTTAGTGCATCCAAACACAGTGTGGCTGCTTTCAGATGTGTTATATGCAAATTAACGATAAAAAAATGTTTGTTAAGGAAGAACATATATAATGAAACACTGATGTGTTACATTATGTATGCTTCATATTGATTAAGTCATTTCTATTTTCTCCACATACGCATCCCTTATAAATATGCTAACATGAAACATACATTTACTGATGTGAAGACTTATGTGTTGCCGCCCTCAGGTACGTGACGATACAGCGAGGCAACGTCGAGACACCCGTGGAGGAACAGGTCACCACTATCGTCTATGAGGAGACGACCGTCACCCCCGCTCCTGTAAGTTTGCCCCCTGTCAGGTACCGGCCCTTAGTGGTGCGCCCCTCGCCCGCATCCCCGGCCCTTCCCACGGAGGACATTCAGGATAATCTCTTGCATGATAGTTTGCCTGATATTCCGGCTGTAACGCCCCTGTCTCAGACGGGATCCTCTCCTTCAACCGTCGAGGAGCCCTTAATATTGCGCCCTGAACGACCAGCTAGAGGGGAAGTTGTGGCGGTATTGGCTGACAAACCAGACGTAACTGTACTAACTCAAGCCGACCCTGTACCCCAGCTGCACCTTAACCCCGAGGCTGACGTCGGGTCAAAGGTTGACCGTGTAGCAGAGACCACTCTTGACCCCAAAGTAAACCTTGTGCCAGAAATCACCCTCAGGCCTCGTGTCGATTATCCTGAGTACGTGTCTTATGAAGAGGAGCTTAATATCCATGATGGTAACATAGGACGTACTAGAGTCGTTCATGGGCACAGACTTGTACCCTCCAAGGTTGTGTACCAAGACACTCTTGTTCCCTTAAAGGTTGTACCAGAGAATGAACTTATACCCACCACTGCTATTCCAGAGATTAATCCAGTCGCTATGGAGGTAGTTCCCGAAATTAGGCCAGTCAAGGTATTTCCAGAGATTAAGCCCATACGGGTAGAGAATGCCAGTGGTAGGGAACATGTGCCTCTGGTTATTGGCTCTCAACTCGTCCGTATTCCAGAAATCGACTCAGACCGTGAGGGAGACACTAGGGCCACTTTAGACAGCAGTAACACACTTAAGTCAGGTGATGGACAGAGGCGCCAGGTGGTGCCAGTGCCACGGGTCTCTTCAGAACAGGTCACCTTTGTGCCTCAGTCTCGCCTCGGGCAGAAGGTTGTCATCTTACCAAGTAAAGACGCTGTAATCCAAATACTAGATCCACTGGTTAACTATGTGACACAACCACACCGTGTGTCAAAGACAGACCAAATGATACATACTGAAGGTGTAACCCAGACGGACCAAGTGACACAAGATGACCCTGTATCACAACGAAGCCGTGTGTCACAGGCTAACCAAGTGACACAGGCGGAACGTGTGTCACAACGAGGCCGTGTGACACAGGCTGGACGTGTGTCACAAGCTGAGCTTGTATCCAAGACTGACCAAGTAACACAGGCTGACCGTGTGTCACAACAAGGCCGTGTGTCACATGCCAAAAGTGTGTCACAAGCTGGCCGTGTGTCACAGGCTAACTATTTATCACAGACTGAACGTCTGTCACACGCTGACCAAGTGACACAAGGTGACCAGGTGACACAGGCTGAACGTGTGTCACAGGCTGACCAAGTGACCTGCGTTGAACATATGTCACAGGGGCTGATCAAGTGACACAAGTTGACCAGGTGACACAGGCTGACCGTAACACTGTCTGATCGTGTCTTGCAGAGCTGACCTTGGGTAACCTGAGGCTGGCCAGAGTGGCCTGTTAACCAAGTAACTGGGCGGCCAGGCGGCACAGGCTGAACGTGTGTCCCCAACAGCGGGCGTCTTGGCTGGAGCCTGACGGTGACCACGGAAGCTGAACATGTGTCCTGTGAGAATAAATGTGTCACAGAGCTGATAAGTAAATTTAAGCTGACCAAGTGACACAGGTACAGACGTATATACGAATGACAATCACAACCATATCACAGGCTAACTTCTTATCACCAGACTAGACAATCTATCACCCGTGACCGATGACACCGGGTGGCCAGGTGGCCTACAGGCTAGACGTGTGTCACAGAGCTGATGACAGCTGGGCTGACCAGAGTGGCTGGGCTGAACGTGTGTCTGGCAGGCCCGATGTGACACAATTTATTAAGTATTGACTGGAGCTGGTGCTGTGTCCACAGCAAGGGCCGTGTGTCACAGGAATGACTCAAAGTGGCTTCTAAGCCCAATAACCAAGTGACACAGGCTAGACGGCTGCTGTCACAGGTAATAAGTAAACGCAAGCTGGCCAGGTTACACAGAGCTGAACGTGTGTCACAGGCCCAACCAGGTGACAAAAGAGCAGACCAAGTGACACCTAGCTAGACATGTCATTTATTAAAATGAAGGCACAAGCTGAACGTGCATCTATGAGCCAGATGTCACCAGAGCTGACCAAGTGAAGCACAAAATAACCAGGTGACACAGGCAGCCAGTGACACTAGCTGAACATTATTATCTGCAAGGCTGACCAAGTGACACAAGCTGACTGAACGTGTGTGTCACTGGCTGAATGAGTGTCTGGAGGCCCCAGCCAAGTGACATAGTAACCAGGTGTGGCTTTTAGGCTGACCAAGCTGACACAGACTGGGCTGTGTCACAACGAGGGCCCTGTGACACAGGCTGACCAAATGGCCTGGGCGAGCAGTAACCTTCTTACCAACCGAATAAGTATGTCACCAGGCTGACCAAATGTCACCAGAGCTGACCAGAGTGGGAACAGGCTGACCAACTGACACAAACTAACCAAGTGACACAGGCACGAGTCAAGTGACACTGGCTGATCACATTGACACTATTTGATCAAGTAACACAGGTGACCAAGTATTTGCTGACTGACCAAATGACACAGGTTGACCAAGTATTTTGAGCTGACGGTAACTACCGTGACAGTGACACAGACTGAACGGTAGCAGCACAGAGCACGAACGACAATGTCTTTTAACAGAGATATAATATTACCAATTTAATCTAAATATCCACAGGCCAACAAGTATTTCAGGCTGTCCAACTGACACCAAAGCTAACCAGGCAGCCACATTGACCAAGTGGCCCCAGGCTGTGAACGTGTGTCTAGCAAGTAAATGTGTCTGGGCTGATAAACAACACAGGCTGAACTGACATATCACAGTTGATCCAAGCCGCTGACTGACCAGGTGACACAGGTAGACCAAAGTGACACTGGCACTAGACATAACATCTTGGGCTGACCAGGTGACACAGGCTGATAAAGTGACACTGGCGGGCAATGTGTCACAGGAAGCTGACCAAGTAACACAGGCTGGCCGTGGCTTCAAGCCTTAACAGTGACACACAAGCCCAGCCAAGTGCAGAGCCAGACCAAGTGACACAGGCTGAACAGGGTGTCCTGGCAGCAAGCCTAGTAAACTGTAAGGCTGTAGTGACACAGAGCTGACCAAGTGACACAGGCTGAGCAGTGTGTCACAACAGGGCCATGTCACTTTCTTTGTTGACTCAAATGTCCACAGGCTGAACATTATGTCACAGAGCTGACCAGGTGGCTGGGCTATTATTAAATGACTTTGAGCAGCCAAGTATTTTCAGAGCAGACCAAGTGGCACAGGCTGAACGTGTGTCCTGGCAGCCATGGCTTCAGGCTGATCCAAGTGACACAAAGCCTGACCAGGTAGCTGGGCTGACCAGGTGACACAAAGTACTGACCAGATGACTGGGATGAACGTGTGACACATTTTGAACAAGGCAATACAAGCTGATCAGGTGACACCGATGATGTCTTAGCTTCAGGCTGACCCAAGTGACTTTAAGCTGACCAGGTATTTTCAGGGCTGAACGTACCAGCTGGTAAGCCAGGTGACACAAACTGATCTAAGTGACACCAAATGACCAGGTGACACAGGCAAGCCAGGTGACACAAGCGGCCAGGTAACTGGAGCTGAACATGTGTCCTGCAGGCTGATCCAAGTAACACCAAGTTATTGTTAAGTGGCACAAGGCTGACCAGGTGGCCTGGGCTGAGCAGTAGTATTACAACAGAGCCGTCTATAAGGCTGATCAAATGACACAAGCTGACCAGGTGGCTTACCAGGCCTGAACGTGTATCTGAGCTGATCAAGTAACTATAGAAGTTGACCAAGTGACACAGGCTGACCAAGTGACACAGGCACAGACATTAATGTTACAACGAATAAATCTGTCACAGGCTGATCAAATGTCACAAGCTGACCAAAGCCTCCTGCATTGACAGAAGTGTCACAGGCTGACCAAGATGTTACCAATTTGACCATGTGTCTATAGGCTGAACGTGTGTCACAAAGCTGACCAAGAGTGACACAAACTCACCAAGTGTCTAACGGATCAAATAAGTGTGTCTGAGCTGAACATGTATGTCTGAGCTGACCAAATGTACAGACTGATCATATGTCACAGGCTGACCCAAGTGTCACAGACCAGCCAAAATGTCTGGAGCTGAACATTAATGTCACAAGATGACAAGTGTCCTGAACTGAACGTATGTCACAGGCCTTAGTAACCTCTAACGGTGGTGTTCACAGATTTGATCGTATGTCAATTGACCAAGTGTCTTTAAGCTGACCGTTTGTCACAGGGCTAACGAAGTGGCCTGGGCGACCAATGTGTGTCACAGGCTGACGATGTGTCACAGGTTAATCCAAGTTACACAAGCTGGCAAAGTCACAGGTAAACTATGTGTCACAGACTGACCAAGTATGTCCTGCCCAGACTGACCAATGTGTCTGAATGACCGTGTGTCACAGGTGACCCCATGTGTCTGAGCTGGTGTGTCCTGGGGCTGGCGTATGTCTGGGCTGACCGTAACTGTCCTGGAGCTGACAAATAATGTCTGAGGCTAGACAATGTGTCACAGACTGACCGTCAATGTCCACAGACTGACCATGATATCACAGGCTGAACGATATGTCTGCAGGAAAGCAGCCGTGTATGTCACAGGCCTGACATAAATAATGTCCTCTTGGGCTGATCATGTCTGAACTGACCGTGTCACAGGCCCCACAGACGTATGTCTAGGCCCAGGGCAATGTCACAGACTGACCGTATATCACAGACTGACCATGCTCCTCTGAGCTGACAATTATCACAGGCTGACCAAGTATGTCACAGGCCTGACGTGTGTCACAGACTGACCGTGTGTCTGGACAATACGTCATGTCACCAGACTGACCGTGTGTCTGGGCTGAACGTATGTCACCAGGCTGAACGTGTGTCACAGACTGACCGTGTATCACCAGGCCGGCCGTATTATGTCTCAGGCTGATCGTATCCTGGTGACCGTGTCACCAGGCTGAGCAGTATGTCACCAGGCTGAACGTGTGTCACAGACCGGCCATTATGGCCATGTTGCTGACCCATTATTACTTACCAGACTGACCGTGTGTCTGCCAGGCTGAACGTGTGTCACAGACTGACTGCGTGTCGTCACCCAGGCTGACGATGTATCACAGGCCTGACCTGTATCGAAACTGACCAAATATCACCGGAGCTGACCGTGTGACAAGACTCACGTGTTAATGACCGGAATTCTGACCAATTGCTCCACCAGGCCCCAGCCGTATGCCACAGGCTGAACATGTGTCTCTTTTTTTTTTTTTTGGAACTGACCGTATGTCCACAGAGCTGACAGTGTATCACAGGCTGACCTGTGTGAACTGACCAAATATCACGGGCGGCCAAATGTGTCCCACCAGACTCACCGTGTATGTCAGAATTCTGACCAGTGTCTGGAGCTGACCGTGTCTCCTGGGCTGAACATAATGTCTGGGCCCTGACCAGGTGTCTGAGCTGTAGACAATGTATCTGAACTGACCGTGTGTCACAGGCTGACAGTGTATCACAGGTTGACCCTGTGTCAAAGACTGACCAAATATCACAGGCTGACCGTGTGTCACAGACTCACCGTGTGTCAAATTCTGACCAATTGTCACAGGCTGACCGTGTGCCACAGGCTGAACATGTGTCACAGGCCGACCGTGTGTCAATGACTGACCAAGTATCACAGGCTGACCGTGTGTTACAGACTGACCACGTGTCACAAGCTGAACGTGTGTCACAGACTGAGCGCGTGGCACAGGATGAACGCGTGTCAAAGACTTATCAAGTGACACAGGCTGATAAAGCGACACAGGCTGTCCCTGTGTCAAAGAGTGACCAAGTGACACCGGCTGATAAAGCACCACAGGCTGTCCGTGTGTCACAGGCTGAACGCGTGTCAAAGAGTGACCAAGTGACACAGGCTGATAAAGCACCACAGGTTGACCGTGCGTCAAAGACTGATTTTGTGTCAAGGGTTAACCAAGTGATACAAACTGACCATGTGTCAAAGACTGACCAAGTGACACGTGCTGACCATGTGTCACGGGCTAATCTTGTGTCACATAGTGCAGGTGTGTCACATAGAGACCGTAGTCATACAGTGGACAGCATAACACAGGTGGAGGGTGTGCCTGCAGTAGCTCGCTCCCCCTCACACCCTGGAGCCTCTCCCTCACTAGCCCCCCCTCGACCCCCCACCACCATAAAGTCCTCATTAGGCAGAGGGTCGTCGTTAGTGGTGCAGCAGCATGATGAAGAGCCTGAGCAGGCCCTCTCCTCCCCCAGCCCACCTCCTACCACTACTAGCACTCATCACTCTCTTCATCTAACGGTGCATGGAAACCTTACAAGCTGACCAGGTGACAAGCTGATCAAGTGACACAAGCTGACCAGGTGACACAGGCTGACCAGGTGACACAAGCTGACCAGGTGACACAGGCTGAACGTGTGTCACAGGCTGATCAAGTAACACAAGTTGACCAAGTGACACAGGCTGACCAATTGACACAGGCTGAACGTGTGTTACAACGAGGCCGTCTGTCACAGGCTGATCAAGTGACACAAGCTGACCAGGTGACACAGGCTGAACGTGTGTCACAGGCTGATCAAGTAACACAAGTTGACCAAGTGACACAGGCTGACCAAGTGACACAGGCTGAACGTGTGTTACAACGAGGCCGTCTGTCACAGGCTGATCAAGTATCACAAGCTGACCAAGTATCACAAGCTGACCAAGTGTCACAGGCTGACCAAGTGTTACAGACTGACCATGTGTCACAGGCTGAACGTGTGTCACAAGCTGACCAAGTGACACAGGCTCACCAAGTGTCCCGGATCGACCGTGTGTCACAGGCTGAACATGTGTCACAGGCTGACCAAATATTACAGACTGATCATGTGTCACAGGCTGACCAAGTGTCACGGACCGACCGCGTGTCACAGGCTGAACGTGTGTCACAAGATGACCAAGTGTCACAGACTGAACGTGTGTCACAGGCTGACCGTGTGTCACAACGAGGTGGTGTTTCACAGACTGATCGTGTGTCAAAGACTGACCAAGTGTCACTGACTGACCGTTTGTCACAGGCTAACGAAGTGACACAGGCTGACCGTGTGTCACAGGCTGACAGTGTGTCACAGGTTAATCAAGTTACACAGGCTGGCAAAGAGTCACAGGCTAAACGTGTGTCACAGACTGACCGTGTGTCACAGACTGACCGTGTGTCACAGACTGACCGTGTGTGTGTCACAGGCTGAACGTGTGTCACAGGCTGACCGTGTGTCCAGGCTGACCGTGTGTCACAGGCTGAGGCTGACCGTGTGTCACAGGCTGAACGTGTGTCACAGACTGACCGTGTGTCACAGGCTGAACGTGTGTCACAGGCTGACCGTGTGTCACAGGCTGACCGTGTGTCTCAGGCTGATCGTGTGTCACAGACTGACCGTGTGTCACAGGCTGAACGTGTGTCACAGGCTGAACGTGTGTCACAGACTGACCGTGTGTCACAGACTGACCGTGTGTCACAGGCTGACAGTGTATCACAGGCTGACCGTGTGTCACAGGCTGAACGTGTGTCACAGACTGACCGTGTCACAGACTGACCGTGTGTCACAGACTGACCGTGTGTCACAGGCTGAACGTGTGTCACAGGCTGAACGTGTCACAGACTGACCGTGTGTCACAGGCTGACCGTGTGTCTCAGGCTGATCGTGTGTCACAGACTGACCGTGTGTCACAGGCTGAACGTGTGTCACAGGCTGAACGTGTCACAGACTGACCGTGTGTTACATGCTGACCGTGTGCCACAGACTGACCGTGTGTCACAGGCTGAACGTGTGTCACAGACTGACCGTGTGTCACAGGCTGACAGTGTATCACAGGCTGACCCTGTGTCAAAGACTGACCAAATATCACAGGCTGACCGTGTGTCACAGACTCACCGTGTGTCAAATTCTGACCAATTGTCACAGGCTGACCGTGTGCCACAGGCTGAACATGTGTCACAGACTGACCGTGTGTCACAGGCTGACAGTGTATCACAGGCTGACCCTGTGTCAAAGACTGACCAAATATCACAGGCTGACCGTGTGTCACAGACTCACCGTGTGTCAAATTCTGACCAATTGTCACAGGCTGACCGTGTGTCACAGGCTGAACATGTGTCACAGGCTGACCGGGTGTCACAGGCTGAACGTGTGTCACAGACTGACCGTGTGTCACAGGCTGACAGTGTATCACAGGTTGACCCTGTGTCAAAGACTGACCAAATATCACAGGCTGACCGTGTGTCACAGACTCACCGTGTGTCAAATTCTGACCAATTGTCACAGGCTGACCGTGTGCCACAGGCTGAACATGTGTCACAGGCCGACCGTGTGTCAATGACTGACCAAGTATCACAGGCTGACCGTGTGTTACAGACTGACCACGTGTCACAAGCTGAACGTGTGTCACAGACTGAGCGCGTGGCACAGGATGAACGCGTGTCAAAGACTTATCAAGTGACACAGGCTGATAAAGCGACACAGGCTGTCCCTGTGTCAAAGAGTGACCAAGTGACACCGGCTGATAAAGCACCACAGGCTGTCCGTGTGTCACAGGCTGAACGCGTGTCAAAGAGTGACCAAGTGACACAGGCTGATAAAGCACCACAGGTTGACCGTGCGTCAAAGACTGATTTTGTGTCAAGGGTTAACCAAGTGATACAAACTGACCATGTGTCAAAGACTGACCAAGTGACACGTGCTGACCATGTGTCACGGGCTAATCTTGTGTCACATAGTGCAGGTGTGTCACATAGAGACCGTAGTCATACAGTGGACAGCATAACACAGGTGGAGGGTGTGCCTGCAGTAGCTCGCTCCCCCTCACACCCTGGAGCCTCTCCCTCACTAGCCCCCCCTCGACCCCCCACCACCATAAAGTCCTCATTAGGCAGAGGGTCGTCGTTAGTGGTGCAGCAGCATGATGAAGAGCCTGAGCAGGCCCTCTCCTCCCCCAGCCCACCTCCTACCACTACTAGCACTCATCACTCTCTTCATCTAACGGTGCATGGAAACCTTCTTCAACCTGAGGGAGAACTTTTGCATGACTCTCCTTCTCTTCGTGAAAATCCAAAGGAAAAGGTTCCCCATCCTGTAGTGCATGATTCACAGCATGGCGGGGCACCTGGAGGTCGTGGAAAACTGAAGGCGACGCCGGCGGTGGTGGCGGTGCATGAGGCGTCGTTGCAGGCCAGGCAGCAGGACGCAGGACGCAGCCAGCATGATGCTCTCTCTCCCCAGGCCGCCGCCGGCACTACTGGCGACGTCACTACCATTGAGGATTACTATTACTACGATGATGATTTCCTCTACGGCGATCAAAGTTCTTCTGTCCTTGACCTCCCAAGCTCTTCTCCGTCACCACCACTACCACAGACAACCACCACCAGCCCCACAACCACTACTACCACACCACATACCACTACAACTACCACCACAACCTCTACAACCACCACCACTACAACTGAGCCTCCTACAACAACAACAACAACAACAGCCAAAACACGAACTCGTACCCGTGTGAGAGGTCCTCCGGTAGGGTCGTTAGCTTCACGTTTTGGGTCGTCTGGGATTGGTGGGACACGTAGGACCTCCTCCACAGGATCCCCCATTGCATCCCTCCCTGACCGAGATCCCATACAGGAGAAGGTGAAGGGAAGGAAAAAGGAGGAGGTCCGGGTGTCGGCCAGACGACCCTCTGTCCACCGACCTGGCGGACCCTCCAAGCTACCCCGGAGAAGAGTTGTGGTGAGGAAGAGAGTCGGAGACAACGGCGCTTCTGGTCAAGTAATTATTTTTCCTTCTCTTCTTGGATGGTGGCTGCAGTGTGAGTGTATAGAGCAGACCTTGACTGTATATACCTTTCTTCCTTCACCTGTCACAATTAACCCCCATACATTGCACTAGTTGTATATGCACCGTGTACATTGCTGTAAGTAGTTTGCATTCTCATGATAACTCACCATCAGTCAAGGAAGTCAATCAGAGCGTATAAAAGTATATGTTCCAATTGACTTCCCTGTATTTTGAAGTAGTTTTTGGAAGCACTTTTCTTGTTACTTTGGTCATTGGGCATCTTTAGTGACTTGAAGCCGTGATAAAGTATTCCTTATAAATTGATAGCATGATGTTATAACCAACTTAATACCCTTGACCGAGACGCCTGACCGACGCACTCTAGACTGGGAGCGACCCACTTGACCATTAAATGACTGTTGGACTTGGACGGACTTCGTCTCTGTTTCAGAACTCGGTGTTGGAGGATAAGAGTCAGAGGTCAACAGGACAGACTCTAGCCTCAAGTTTGCTCCTCGTGTGTACACTGATCGTTCTCCAGCTTGTTTGGTATAAATGACACTCTCTTCCAGATCCCAAATGACGCAACGTTGGTAAGAGAAAGTTCCATATTGTTCACACTTGCTTACCTTTTTCGTTCGCCCCCACACCCACCCACCCACCTATTCAGTTCAGCTACACAACCATCATTAGTACTACCAACACCTACACCAACCACCACGTTTTTCACCAACACAACAACCACCATCATTAACACCTACACAACAACTCACCACCACCACCCACCACAACCATCCACCACTACCACCCACCACCACCACCTACCACCGCTATCCACCACCCACCTCAACCACCACCACTACCTCCCACCTACCACCAGCTACCACTGCTATTTTTCTTGGGCCCCTTTGAGAGCCTTTCTTGGTGAACTCGGACCTGGGGGTGACTACTCTCTGCCTCTTGGGGACTTTTCCTCCTGCTAGAGGCGATCAACTACGTTCTGACTCCCACGACTTCGATAATTTCTGACTCCCTACCTGATGCAGCTGTCTGTCGGTGACCTGACTGTTTGGAATGAGTGCTTCGCTGGTGTTCGTAATATATAACTTTATGCCAATCCTGAGAAAGTTTATTTATATATTTTAGATTGTATTGTTTCTGTTTCATTTTTACACTGAATTTGATAGATAGATGTAGTGATAGATACAGTCGGTCATTACTTGATTGAATTATAATTGACTTTGATAATGATAATATACTTAATACAGAATATTATTTGTTGTTTAGGAATAGTTTCTTAACCTCGTGTGTGGTGTTGTCTTAGGCTGAAGACCAGACGAGTGGACCAGTGAGGATCAGGACCCACCCACCCTCCAAAGCACGACCTACCCCTCCTCGGGCATTTGCTCGCCCACGACCCACCCGCCCACAACAGGAGACCAGCCCACAGCCTGAAACTCGCCAACGCCCGACTCGTCCCTTGGTTGGAATCAGCCCACGCCCAGCCCGCCCATTTGCTGATAGGCCAAGGCCAACGCGCCCATTGGCTGAGAACCCAAGGCCCACCCGACCACTTTCTGACGGCTCAAGACCCACCAGACCATTGGTTCAGATCAGTGCACGTCCAACTCGTCCTTCCCCCCAGCAGGATGACAATCTTCCTCGCCCAACCTTAGTAGTAGATGAAGACCCACATCCACCAGGCCCTCTGATCAGCACCTCTGCACCAATTTCAGTTCCCACCACCCTGCCTTCCGCCTTCACCAAGGAGGAGGCCGTCACAGTGTTCGAGGAGGACGTCTTCCCGGAAACTACCTACGCCCCAGAAACCTCTGTACGACCCACCTTCTCCTCTCTGCTCTCTAAACCCGCACCCACTACGCCCACACCCGTCATTATATCGCGATCCAGTACTCGTAAAAGGCCTACTCCCCGACTCCCTAACCCTCAACCAGGTACAAGCCCCCGCCCATTCGCCACAACCACACCTCCACCTCGACGAAGCCCCCGCCCTCCTCGCCCTACCCCCGACGGAGCACCATTGTCACCGCAGTTATCTCTCAAGCCAGCAGCCTCGGCCATCCTCGACCGCCAGGACAACTACGACTACTACTACGAGGACCTGGACGGCGCCCTCACTGGCACTCTGGGTCAGCTGGCGACCCTGACGGAGAAGGCGAAGCTCATGGCTGACGGTTCCGTCCAGTGTCATGACACAGGCTATTTCGCTCACCCAGATTCCTGCAAGAAATTTATATCTTGCTCCAAGACGGTGAGAGGTCTGGTGAGGGGCTGGGTGTACACCTGTCCGCAGCAGCTGGTGTTCGACCCCGTCGGTGGTATGTGTAACTGGGCCGAGTCTGTCGATTGTGAGGGACGCTAATAATTCGACGCAAACCAGAATGAGAGGACAAGCAAAGAACATCATAATTAAGTCATCAACGAAGGGAACAACCAGAAATAAGTCACTGGGTAACAGAACTGTAAAATTAAGTTGCTAAGTTAGAAAAAAGAAGTTGATATGTCGCCAAGTAACGTAACTGTAGAGGTACTTATGTCGTCATGTTTGGAGACAACAGTCAGTTCTCAGGATGTGCAACAGCAAAATTGAATTACTAGATTTGTAGACGAGGAGCTTATCCAGACAAGCTGTGGTACATCACCAGGTTATAGAACCATAAAATGGCTCGTCGCCAAGTTAACGGAACAAGATAGCTATGATAAAGGTGTTGTGGGGAGCTTCGGATACAAAATGAAAGTTATCCTTAGTAATATAAGTAATCCATTTTCTAAAACAATAATGAGTCCATTTTCTATGATATCTACGGCACATAAAACATACCGAGCTTCACGTAGATATTTATTGTCCGGAAAAAATTTCTGCCTCCCATTTTGGCATTTTTAACACAAATATTATATACACTTGAAGGCATGTTTCTACTGAGTGTATTTTTAATCAAATAACCTGTATAGAACCTAACTGCCTGTATACGGTCCACTACACATACAGGAAACTTGTACTGTATATTACATGAGCGATAAACTTACTACGATGCTCACACATAAACACTTCATGCCAAATCTCTCTTGATGGTTTAGTCTTGCACTTTAGTCTCTTCTCTCGAGGAACACAGTGTGATCTTTTTCTCCGCTGTTGTTGATGTGTGTATGAGTGTAATTTTGAGTCCAGAGTTTTATAAGACCCTGGATAATATGTTCTAAGTATGTGTGTCTGTGTTCCTCAATGCAAAAAAGAAACATGTGATCTAAATTATTGTAAGGAAGGGTGTGACAGCCCCCACATTCATGTTTATTGTGTAAATAGCATTTTATAATTAAAGTTCTCCATATAATACGTCGTTTGATGTTAATGAAACCTAAACCAAGATTTTGGCTCCAAGTTCCCGAAAGTTTGTTGATATGAATATTCCTTGTAACTGATAATATTCAAATACACCTTATTACAGACATCTTCTTTAAACACACACACACACCATCGCAGTCCTGTTTGTGTTGGTTGGTTGGCTGGTTTCTAGTCTTAACGCAGGTATTAGGCAGCTGCCAAACCGGGAGGTACTACCGCCTGATGTGGGTCAGTGACCTGTGCCTGGGTGGGCTAATCCCCGTAAAAAAAAAAAAAAACCCGTCACCACACTTGTCGCTAAGTATGGCGTGTAGATCCCAGAGACTGTTGGCCCAAAATATACCGTGATACCAGCAGCTACTTTTATCCACTCACAACCACCCATACTCACCCACAACTACCCATACTCACCCACAACCACCCATACTCACAACCACCCATACCACCCACAATATTCACCCACAACCACCCATATTCACCCACAACCACCCATACTCACCCACAACCACCCATATTCACCCACAACCACCCATACTCACCCACAACTACCCATACTCACCCACAACCACCCATACTCACCCACAACCACCCATATTCACCCACAACCACCCATATTCACCCACAACCACCCATACTCACCCACAACCACCCATACTCACCCACAACCACCCATACTCACCCACAACCACCCATATTCACCCACAACCACCCATACTCACCCACAACCACCCATATTCACCCACAACCACTCATACTCACCCACAGCCACCCATACTCACCCACACCCGTCCATACTTCGAGAAACAGCAGAATGAACACAAAGAATCACTGAAGTCTACATCTTTTACAGAAATAATACCATTGTTACTATACTCGTGTACGGTTACTAAATGCCATATAAATATATACCTAAGACATGTAGACAATTACCTCGAGCTTCTTTGTAAATTACAGTAACACTGCTTTGATATATTCATGTTTGGACGACGAATTGGCGAGGCTGAGAAATAGAAATGACAAGTTTACGTCGTTTCAGATTCAATATATAGTAGAGATTATATATTGTGGATATAATTAGATCAAACCATCCAAATAATGAATCACATTGATTCATGAAACATCGACGATCAAGTCAAAATTTTATGTGTCAGTACAGTTTGTTTTGTTACGTCACTTTAACAACAAAACATCTAGTGGTAAAACATAATATTATAAAGTAACTCAGAAGCACCCAACTTGCTGCACACCCCTGCCAATATGCATACAGTAATGTATTTTGTGCTTACTTAGCGTAGTATTGGGAAAGTTTATTATTTCACCTTGTTCACTCAACCATAGTCGCAGCGATATATTGTTAACTCAGTGTTATTGTATATCTTATGGCTTATCCAATCTTTAATAACCTGCATTGGCAGCAAATACCGAGATAATACAAGTGAAAATGCGAATTTTGGATTCAGGTTATTTTACCAACTTCAAGAAGGCAATCATGAACTTACCACGACGTAGATTTTCCTTCTTCTCAAATGTGTATTGGAAAAATGATTACGCTCACTATATAAAGTTTCAAGTAGTTTATTGTTTAACTAAGAATTTTTATTAGACTTTTATGAAGACTGGTTTACTAAAAAAAAAAAATTTTTAACTGGGAAAAATAGTATTGGGTGTTGTAGTCTCACTTGTATAAAAATCTACAGCGTGTCTACAAGTACAATACAATGATTCCGTCCTAAAATAACCGCAAGTATAGTTCATTAACAGTAATTCAAGAATGCTAATGTGTCGTATATTAGAAAGAATAGATATAATAGGGACAGGGTTAGTTTTGTCTCAGTAAGCTAAGTATTATTCGACTACCTTTCACGTTAACAATCACACTAGTTAGTTTTAGAGTAAATTTCATATTTAAAGTGCGAACACACATAGATATTTAGCTATTCATTGAAGTACGGTCACATGAATCATGAGACATTCATGAAAATATGATTATACCATAAATATTTTGTTATTCCTAATCTATGATGAGTAAAATTATTTTCACTGTCAAATTTGTCAGTTTAGAAAAAGAATGTAGGAGTGAACATATTCCTAGTACCTTCACTAACAGATACAGACTACTTAGCCAAAAGCGAAATACCATCGTTACCACTGTGTTCCAGCAATGATAACTAACCATAATTTTAGTTATTTGTAATATAATTCATGGAATATAATGACAGGTTTACCTTTTGCCGTCAAGTGAGAATTTTCTTAGTGATGCGTATTGGTGAACTGCTGAGGAATTTGGATTCAGTAGACGTAATATTTTATTGAAATGTGAACTACCATTACGGACTAAAGATGCATAGATGAAAATTCGTAATAGAATTTCATCATTGGTTGCACTTAATGCCCGCAGCCTGGTGTAGTGTAGCTCACAGTAGCCAACTTCAATTTAGCCTTGAACTCTAACTTCGCCAAGTCAACTCTAATTTTACTTCGCCAATTCTGTTTTAAGCTTGACAACTCTTTAACTCATGGTAGCTAACTTTAATTTGACCAAACTAACTGTAAACGTAGCAGTCTACTCTTAATTTAATTTATACTAGAATGACTTAACCTAACCATCCTCAATATATAAAGTAACCGACGTAAACCTTAGAAAATTTAGAATTACTTTGTTAAGATCAGGTATGACAAGTGTGTACCTTATCATCAAGTGCTCAGTTACAAGTGCTGTTTGTACAGGTGTAATA